GACACGTTTTGTACCACAAATGCACATGTACAGTATGCAGATTTGTGGACTGTTTTGTAACTGTGTGATGTATGCCCAAATTCAGATAATCCCGCATCCCACTCGCTGCTACTGAACGTAATCTGGGTCTGAGTCCCAGCCAGACATTGGATGGGAGGCCAGATGCTGCAAGGAAGGCAGAGACAGTCTGTAAAGTCAAATGACAATATTAAAATAGGATTTAACTTACAGCATAGATCTAAATACAGATCTCCCAAAATAAGTCTTTTGCATGGCTTAATGTGAGGTAAATGTTAAAAAGAGCTAAATTTAAATACTTAGAATTTAGGCTTAAGTGAAACAAGGACTAAAGTCACCTTAATGCTCTCTCTCTCTCTCTCTCTCTTTGGTCTAAAGGTCTTGACAGGAAGATCAGGTGTCTTCTCTCCTGCATTGTTCGTCTTCTCAGTCTGTCTCCACTCTTTCACTGCTTTTTCCCCATTATCTTCATCACATGACACATTCTACATGTGGCTCTCGCAACACTGTGCACCTGCCAAAGCTCATGGAATTGGAGAAAAATTGTACTCGGGGGGGGGGGGGGGATTTAGGTCAGATGAGCAGTACAGAGTAAAAAACACTGTCTGTACTACAGCAGTACATGAATCAATTCACTGTCTCTTGACCCCCATGGTGGAATTTGTGTGTGTGTGTGTGTGTGTGTGTGTGAGAGTGTGTGTTCATGTACAAGCCTCTTTGTGTGCCCGTGTGTTGACAGCGTGTAGAAGTGCATTTAGCATTTAATCGTGACCGATTTAATTAATTTCCAGGCAGACTGCTGAGACCCAGACTCTCCCTAATCACGTCGGATCTTTAGCCATGGCATCATTCTCATCCTGAGCTTTATTTTTTATTAGATACTGAGCCATTAATTGATTGCATACATTTGGTGAGAAATCAAGACAATAATGACTGTTGACTAATGTCCATTTAAGCCAGACTCTGACCAATATAGATTTTTCAAGATCAGAGTGTTATCTTTAGGCTGAAGCTGCCAATAGCTGAACATGTGTGCCAATGTACAGTACAGTGCAGCTCTGACCTTGCCCTAGAATGGAAATAAACAATTAAAATGCATAGATCTTGTGAATATTTAGATATTTCGTAGAAAAAATTGTGCAAAATCATCTGAAATTATACTGTAGCACAAAAAAACATGGAAGAAACCAGGCTGTTGACTGTTTTTTTTCCTAGGGGGGTCACTCGCTCCTTAAAAGTTTGGTGTACAGGCTGACACCGGTTATGAGCATGGAAATGAAGGAACCACCATACTGTCTGAAGTCCACAACCATGACTAACATCTGATTTCTCATCTCAATGCCAATATCATCCCAAATCATCTGCAATCCATTGGCCTTACCCTTATACTAACCACCAGCTGATTCTGAGTATAGGCCTCAGTGATCCAGAACACTGAGGCCTGCAACAGCAATGTGTTGAAGTAGGCTAACGTGTGAAAACAAAAAATCTGTCTGTTTGCTGGCACTTGATGTGCCAACCCGTCCCCTCGGCCCAGCTGTCAAATTCTCAGAAATGACTGGTGCGTCAAAAACTCGCCATTTGCTGCCATTTCCCTTATACCTGCCCACTCCCACCCGTTACTCCACCGGGGTCCCTCTACACCTCGTCCTCTCCATTCCTCTAGAGGTAAATGCCGGACTGCTCCATCAGTCGTTTCACCTTCACCGCGCATCAATAACATGGCCACAGCGGCTTACAGGGATGGACGCTGGCACGGCGCGGCTTACACCAGCCATTTCTCCCTCAGCTCCACCACTCATGTAGCGCATCCGTCATTTTAGCACCAGCGCAAAGGACGATTAGCCTGTCCGTCCGCTACAGGGAGAGCCTCCCGATTTCACTTGATGATGCAAAATGTGAAGGGCACAGCCATGCATGCGCCGGCTGCTGATGCATCTACAGCCGCCGCGTTATTATCTCTCGGTTTACTCAGTGAACGCTCAAGGGTGATGGAGTGTCGCATGCATGAACATGATGACGGTCACGGAGTCGAGCAGATACGGGATGTCGACATCACCCTTGGCCGCACTCTTGTAATTCCACTCTCAGGCGACCGGCCACAATGTCAGCGCTGCGAAACCTGACGGATAAACGCGCGCACATCCTCCGCGCTCTCTCTCACAGAAACACTCACACATGCACACACAGCTACTTACAATTCCTTTATGAGCATTTTTTTGGCGGTGTGTTATGCCCTATATCCAAGAGGGGAGCAGCTCAATACAGGTCCAGAAACCGGGTCGATTCCTCCCGCCGTTGGTCTCTTCTTTCTCCGCTTGCTTCTCTCCCACCTCTCCCCCTCTATGTCATTCTACCTCCACAGTCGCTTATTTTCTTCAAATACACTTCCTGATCGGGGCCGCGGCGCGGCGTTGCTGTTGCGCGCAGAGCAGCGAGGCCTGTGCAGAGCAGACTACACACAGAAAGAGGATGGTTCACCAGAGGGTGGGTTGAGGATGATGCGGTGGGTCTATACAGCCTCGACATAATTACTGAGAGGGACTAATTGAGCCATCCAGTTTTATAGATTTATATTTTATAAATATACTTGACATTTTTAATGTCTAATTCTGCTGGTTTTTGGAACAGCTCACTCTGAAAAGAAAACCACACGTTTGGAAAACAATTATATATATATATAATAGTTCAAGTGTATTTGTAATTCAAAGGCTCTCTAAAGCTGACATTTAATTTAGTTCCCCGTGGAATAGGGTACAGGCTTCATTATGTATTTCAACTTTATGTAATGAAAAAAAAGGAAATCGCTCCCACTCAAAAACAAAAACAAATTTGTAATAAATATTTTACAGGAAGGTCGATGCAGCACCTCTAGATCCTAAAACGTTTTAAAACATATAAAACAGACTTAGCCCATGCTTCTCTGAACCATTTTTCTTCAGTGTGCTCCACCCTCTGCGTCATCGCAGTCACGGTGACGTAGAAGCGTGGTTGTTCACCATCAGAGTATATAAAGAGTTGATACGGGGACCACCACCGCTGGCACAGACGCACATGCGTCAGCTTTATAAGCCCTTTAAACAAAGTCCCTGCATCTAATGTGATTATCTGCCTCCAGAAATTCCAAACCCGCTCCTGTCCACTAGATAGCCGATCTGCCACTGATGACAGGACATTGTGTTTTACATTACAACGAAAACATTTCTGTCGGTGTGCTTCCAATAACGATCACATATATGTAGCCTAAAAGCGTTAGAAGATGGAATCGTGAAGGTAAGTCTGTGCAGTCATCCTCAAAAACCCTCATATCCGCAAAGGAATCACAGGCTAAACTGTTATTCTCTCAAGGACCCCTGGAGGTCCCCTGGGCACGCTTATGGTCCACCACCCACGGGTCTATAAGATTGTGTTAGCACGTGAGGTGATGACAAGGAATCACAGGTCACTAATCCAGCCCCGCGTCCCTGAGATCGCAGGATGTGAGTGAGTGCGCGTGTGAGTCTAAAATTATGTAACAGCGCACTGCTGCTGTATTTATAGCGCATCTGTATCCGCCTGCCAACATCCACTTATCATTCCTCAGTCTTCTCATCTGTATAGGACCCCTTCTACCCCCTGTAGGCTACACTATAGTACAATAAATGGTACATCTATCTATCTGTCTGTCTGTCTGTCTGTCTGTCTGTCTATCTATCTATCTCATCGATTGGTATGAAGGGATAGAGCACAGAGAAAATTCACTTTTAGCTCCTAATAAGTGCCTGATCAAATTGTTCAACAGCACATACTGTGAATGGCCCACTACTTGCTTCTCAGTGACGTTAGGGCAGTGGTCTCATGTTGCCTTCTTGAACCGTGTACCTGAACAAACCACAGGGGTCGGTCAGCCAACAAACAGTTGCAGCAGCAGCTAGCACCAGGCCAGCAGAGCTCCATGGAGCCATGCGCTGTCCCTGATGTGAGTGACGTTCTCAGGTGACAGGAGGGGCTGGGGTGTCAAGGGACAAGGGATAACCATTCGCTGGTGTAGTATCAGATGAGAGTGCAGTGTTGACAGACTTGGTAAAACCAAACTGAGATTGTTCCGGGAACACCTGGTGGAAAATCAGAATTACTCTGAGTAATCTCACCTCTGAACAAGCTTCCTGGGGACATGGAGTCAGGGGACACCCAGTTCTTACAGTAAACACTGTTGTTAAAGCAGATAAGCATTTTCTGGATAAAAATAACATATATATGAAAGATGTACAGTTAATACGTGTGTGTTGAAAGTGGGAATCAGTCTATATCTTTTTAGGTTGGGTTTAAACGTCTGTGGATTGAGTTTCTGTTCTTTGTTAGTGTGTTTCAGGTCCTGTTGTTTCTGTATTAAAAACAATCCGTAAAAAAGCGACTAGAATTCTGTTGCAGTTAGGCCTAAAATAAGGCAGAAATGTTCCACTTGTTTCTTCATCAAGTGTGATGGCCTTCAAAAACCTCTGGCCTCTGTTGGTTGGTTACGCAACAAGCTTAAAACTCCATCAGCTGCATATTGGTTCCATATTTGTTTTACGCCTTTTCTGATTCACAAATCTCAAAAGGCCACTGTTGTCTTCTCAAACCTGAATTTCAAATTAAAAGCCTAACTATAAACTGTTGATTGTTGTTGATTGTTAAATGTTATGCACCTCCCATCATGTCAAATTCCTTATATGTTCAACATGCCATGGCAATAAACGGTTCTGATTCTGATTCTGATTAACAGTGGGCTTACACTGGAATTTTGTATTTAGCCTTTCAGAAACAGAAAAAAAATCATGCATCCATAACAAATGAAAAAAAGGAAGCACTATCTGGGTTAAGATCTGTCATAATGTCATCGCACTCAGAATGTAAGTGTTAACTTTCTGTGAATGCAGGTAAATGTTACACAACAAAGTTACACAAAGTCATTTAATTTAGCCCGGTGAGCAGTAAAAGAAAATATGAACAAGATCGACCACTTAAAGAGATCAAGTCATCTTTATTAACCCCCACAAATTCTTCCATTTTCAAAAATGTACGCCAACAATACAACATCTCTACATTATCTTCAGCTGTAGAAGAGCTCTATGCGAACAACAGTGTACGATCAGACATGCGTTGTCAGCACAGCATGATTTAAATACGGGATGAAAAGTGAACGTAAAATGAAATAAATACATGTAAGAAGGTTGGAGGAGCACAAAATGAAAGTGGTACTATTTTAGAGAGGCATCAGGAGAGAAGTGCTGAAATGAGCTGCGTGATGTGTTTGAAATGTATTGTAAAGGGGTTAACAGGGTATAAAGTGCTGAACAGTGTATGATGAAGATTTTATGGATACACTGAATGGAGAACATGATGGGGAGACTATTTTAACTGATATGTGTAATGCTGCCCAATGAACAAATATGAAGTATATTCACAAGGCAATCCCGGTAAACTTAACATACAAAAACAAAACTAAAGAAAGCAAGAAATAAAATAAATACTCTAAACATACATGAACATTTTGCTTTGAGCAAAACATACCGCAGTTATTTGACGTCCCTCTTTCATAATGCAGCCCCAAAAAACACGGACATTCATCCATACTACAGTATATTCTAGGCTACACCTGTTTTAGACTATAGTAAGATGTTAGCCAGGTAAAAAAAAGAAAACAATCCAGCCCCATAGTCTCTTTAAAACATCAGCAATAAGGTTCTTCTCTCCTCCCTGTCGCTCATTAATGCCATGCAGTCCACACTTACCTTACACCGTCTATCAAAAGCACCATGTTATGCCATTTACAATCAGGATGATACAAAGTCAACATATGACACAATAACTAATAATGGTGAGGTCATTTTGTGGGGGACGTTTAGCAGTCTTGATGCTGTCACAGGGAGGATGTTTCATGAGCTAAACAAACTCTCCTTTTCTGTTCATTTGGGGAATATTATAACAGTCTTATGTGGAACGGATCTGCACTGATGTGCCGCTCAGAGAGGAGGGAATAAAAAGAGAAGTCAGAGGACTTTGGGGGGAGATGCAGAGGGCTCATGCCTCTTTCCTTTCACAGTCTTTCCTCTTGTTTTTTCTTTTTCCCTCCACGTTTCACTTTCTTCCTTCGCGACTGTCCAACTGACCCGTTTTTGTGACAACCGCAGCATCAGTTTATCTTGTTCTATCTTGGAAAAATGACACAGGAGTCTGTTTGTGTCTGTACTCGATGGGGACCTATAACAATTACACAGTAGGTTTAAATGTCATATTCTAAATAGTTAACATTTCAGTTGTCCTTGACTGGATTGCCAATTTCCCAGTAAAAGATCGTTCTTCATCCTCTGTTATCCATTTCTTTGCATTGACTTTTCTCTAGACGTAAGCCTCAGGGATGTCAGAGCCGTTGATTTTGATGTAGATCTTAGCATTGTCCTCCCTTAGTTGTTGCTGTTTGTAGAGCGTCTGTCTGTAGCAGATCAGGTAGAGAGGCAGCAAGAAGCCCAGCATACTGACACCAAAGAGCCCAATATTGACCTGAGGGATAACACCAGAATTAGCCACGTCTAATGGTTTGATTTGAGAGAGTTTTGGAGTGTGTGTGTCTGTATGTGTGTGTGCATTCATACCCAGAATGGGTCTCCTTCCAAGGGTCCCATCATAGCCAGAAACAGGGGTTGCTGCAGTAGAGAAAACACAGCACTGACCAGAGACTGCATGCCTGTTAGACTGCCAAACTGTGAGGAGGGATACCTGCAGAGACACAAGTAGTACAATTAGTCTCTCAGTTAGAAGCTGTATCCACGTACAGGAGACGAAGGTGGTGATGATGATGATGATGTGTGTTTGTGGGTCTTGTGAGGCTAGAAGCACATTGAGACTTACACAGCAGCATAGAGGCCGCCAACCGCTGAGTGAATGAATCCTCTCACCACAGTGTGTAAGACAAATGACACAATCTGTGGAAAAGATGAAAGTAGAAGAGTTCAATATTCACAATCATTTAGTTCATTTCTGTCAGCCGGTTCATGAGGGTCTCAAAGGAATAGTTAGATGAGAAGATAAATAGAATAGAAAATCTATCCAATAAATATAAAGCTACATCCAGCAGCCGCTTACCTTAGCACAGCATAAAGACTGGAAACAGGGGGAAACAACTAGCCTGGCTCTGTCCAAAGGTAAATCAACAGCCCTTCTAAAGCTCACCACTTAACCCATAATGTCGTGTTTGTTTAATCTGTATCCAGTGCATGCTAAACTACAATAGCTGTCTCCTGGTTGGTGGAGTCAGGCTAACCTGTTCCATATGCTACATTAATGCTAAAGTAACACTACATTAACAGGATTAAACTGAATAAAACACCACAAATTAACAAGGTTATAAAATGAAAGTTGTCTCAGTTGTCTCGCTGAAGCACTTTGAAGGCCTGTTTGAATCTAACAGCTGAAGAGGACCACTCACCTGCAGGGGGAGACTGGGCACCAGACAAGTGATCCCAAATCCCACTAGAAGGACGTTTGTGAGGACGAACGCTCGCAAGGCATTGGTCACCTTCTGGGTCTTTTTGTCTCTGCGCTTAATCTTTGTCTCCCCCCTTGTGGACAAAATGTGGACAGAAAGAGAGGTCAGATTATGCAGGCACTGGTATCGCAACTCTATCTCACAATAAAGGTCAATGTCTTGGTTGTATTCGTCGCTTAGACATTGCATTGCAACAATGTCTGAAGCTATAAATGGAAGGGATTTGAGACAGTCTCAGGCACAAGTTGACTCACTTTCTGTAGGGCTCCTTTTCTTCCTCTCCATCATCACAGTCCTTCAGCTTCCAGTCCATGATCTGACCAATCACAGGAGTGGTCATCAGGCAAAGCAGCTGCAGTACGCCGAAGATGGAGGAGTACAGACCCACTGAGAGAAGGATCAGAAAGGTTTTAAAAAAGGTTCAATGATTATTACAAATTGAGAACAAATAAGAAAGGGGAGGTTGTTAGAGGAAAGGATAAAAATACGACAGATATTGAGGGTTCAGGACCCTTTTCTACCTGGTTAATGATTATGACGGTACAGTTAATTATTAGTTCCAAATAAAAGCGGGTATGGAGAAAACTGCTGTTCAAAAGTCCATTTCTTGCCATTGTGAGGGGATTTATTGCCAAGGGTGTAATGAGAAATGAAAAGTGAGTCATGTGCAACTGCTTGTATCATATGACGTATGCTTTCTGCTGGAGCTGAGGGGCAAAGATAGTTAATGAGTACAACAAAATGGTACCTGGTGGTTTCAGGTTAAAGCTGAATGACAGTCCAAGGACTCTGTTATTGAAATGGCGAATGGGCAAGTTCAAACAAAGATGAAATGAAATAACAGCAGAAGCTATGAAAAAGCCAGGGAGTAGTGTTAGTGTATTAGTAGTACAGTATTGTGATGGCAAAATCTACGACTAGAGGTGAAATTCTAGTTGTAGTCAGCTTGAAAGTTAATAATCTAATTCTTCAGCGATCTACTGATACAAGCTTTGATTCTTACCGAGTTCCATTCTTTCCACTGAAAATCAAATTGAAACCCTCGTAAGTCCAGCTGCTTTTAAGTCATGAAGCACAGTAGAACCAACTTGATCCAAGTAAAGAAAAATAAAACAATCAACAAGTGTTCATATTTGTCTGTGCACACAGACGGAATGGCGCACGACTCAAACTGCAGAGCCACTGACCTGTGTTGAGGTCTCCATCACTGAGCGACTCCAGCACGCTGTTCATGGCCCCCATGTAGAACAAGAGACGGAGCTGAGTGACGGACATGGTCACCAGACTGAGCAGGAAGATCGGGCTGATGATGGTTTTCAAGAATGACTGGGCTGCAGAGGAGAAACAGGAACGCAACAGAGGTGAACAACATGCTTTAGAGTGAGAAGAGCAAAAAGAGGGGGGTCAACGAGGGGGTTGAATTCTGCTGCTCTTACACTCTTTTGTCTTGCTCTCCATTTCCAGGTCCATGGTGGAGAGGCAGAGCTTGTTTCCGTCCTTAGTCACCAGCTCCTTCTGCTTCAGGTTGTCGCCCACACTTAGACGACGTCCCACTGTGGTCACTTGGTTATAGAACTGCTTCCCTGTGATTTTATGGTCGAAGCCCAGCCAGCTGAACTTAATCTTAATACTGAGAAAGCAGAGGAGGATAAGGGGATGGGAAGAATAAACAAAATGGGAGTAGAGGAAAATGTGTGAGGAAGGACAAGGGAGAAGCTCATGGACAAATTGAAATGTGTAAAAATAGATTATTTCTATTATCATTAATATAAAATGGTGACATACAGGAAACATGCATATGCCCTGCGTGAACGTTTTTCACTGAACAACCATTAAAAAGTTTGATTCTAATTAACAAGAATTTTCCACGGGGATGCGTACAGTGTGTGATTATCAGCAGATGGACTTTAACCTGCAGAATCAGCCTACACTGCACTTTTTGCCCATATTACATAATTATTTGTCAAACAGTGTCAATGGTGTTGAGTGCTCCATATACTTTGGAACACACAGTTTACTAGCGTTTGTTTATAAGTGAGCTTATATATGTATATGTGTACATGTGGGTCTGTGTCTGTACGCCACTGTGAACATCTGTGGTACTAACGTGTAGTCCATGTCTTCTGGTCCTGGGAACGGCTCCATTGGCCAGTTGAAGAAGCAGTTGAAGAAGACCAGTCCAGCACATGCAGCCCACACCACCAGGATAGAAATGAAAGATATGCCAAGGTCGTAGATCACCTGTGCACATCAGAACATGACCAATAAACACAAAAAACGAGACAACACACACCTGAAATCAGAATGCAATAGAAGGAGTGTATGCTTCTGCAAAGGCTACACAATCCTGCATATATGTTGGCTGAGAGTGGATGCTAAATGGGGCTGCACATTGCATTCAAGAGGTAAGGCAGTTTAAACAATTCTAGGACAGCAGTATGGAATGACAAACCTTGACACCAGGGAAGGTGACAGCGGAGGAGGCATAGGAGCCAATCATCAGGGCGATGAAGGTGGAGCGAAGGTCCCCGAACATGTTCGGGAGCTAGAAGGAAAGAGAAAGAGACATAATCACAACCTGACCTTTTATACTCTCGAAGTTATTGCATAAGCTATAAGCAAAATGAGAGACATTCCATTGTCTATATAAGTATAAAGGTTAAACCATCCTCTGCCAAGATCATGGTGATCTCAGCTGCAGTGTAGCTGATCGAGGACAGATTGGGGACACTATGAGGATGGTGCCTTTTGACACCGGGGTCAAAGTGGACAGTGGGAAACAATTAGCAAGCAGACATCAGAGAAACTAAAACACAACAAAGTGACATGGAACGCGAGTAAAAGCAATACAAAACAGCATCACATAACACACAGCTGTCCACCACACGACATAAACGCAGCGCTGCCCAGACGTGGTGACAGAGGTGAGGTGACTTTTATATGCTTTACTCCCGTTTGAGGACAGATAAAAGAGAGCTGGGAGGGAAAGCAGGGGAGACAGTGGGTGGCAAAACATCCAAATACAAAGGCATTCACAAGCTGTTCTGTTTTCAAGAGACTGAACAACAACAAGCACATCCAATTACATAAGACTGGGGGAAGCTGAGGAAGAGGTATATTTTTGTGTGCGCACTAAATTGAGTATTGAGTATGCATATTGAAGCACCCAGTATTTCATAGCAGTCTCACCAAGAGTATTTGGAAAAACTGCTCTAATAGGTTTTTAAACATAACAAACACATAAGCGGCTGCTGGACAAACCTGAAGGGGAAAGGTGACCTGACAACTGCAGAGGGCAGCTGAGTATTACCCAACAGCTGAGACTGAATGCCTGTATGGTGCAGTCATGATCAAAGAGTCAAGGAGCAGCATAGAGGCTAATGATTAACTCAACACTGAGTGTTTCAAGTATTGTATATCAGGTTGTGAGGGAGATGGAGGGAAAGGTGGTTTCAGAGGAAGATGTGGTTTAATACACAGATTCTGGGGGCCTCCAATACAAAAGAGCAAGCAGAGCCCTACATTATGGTTTTACTACATCAATGACATTCAGGCCTGTGGCACCAACTAATGATATATTTAGGTAGATGCAACAAATACCACATAGTACATGTACATCACAGTAACGGCCTGTGGTGGTATAGAAAAGGGACATTTATTGGGAGATTTACTGGAATAGAGGCCCTCTCTAATGAACAGCATCACCATGGTACGGCCCAGGACTCCTGTGTGAGTCACCGTAAGACTGAACTGATGACAAGGGGATGGAACAATGAGAGGAAGAACAGCAGGGGAAGAATGTAAATGAATGGTGAGGGGTTGATCCTGCCAGTCCAAAAGAGCATCAGTTGTTTTGTCTTCGTGTATATCTGGTTCTGTGGCTCAATCTGAAAGGGCACTGATTTTACATATCACAGTCTGTTTACAGATCTAAAGGTAGTACTACAGGGTATGTAAAAATAAGTTGTATAAAACCTTAAATAGCTCCAGTTGGAGCTGCACAAAATCGGTTGGGGCTGAAGACTGAATGAACCTAGCCGGCTCTTCATCTCTGCTTGAGCCTATAGTGGCTCAATTCTACATTAACTGCTCTCCAATCAACTGTTGAGAGGGTCAAGTTTGCATTGTGGGTAATGTAGGCTCCAGGTTTAAACATGGAATCATTAGAATAAAAAAGGACAATATCTCTGGTCCTGCTGCAAGGATGTTGATACTTTTTTAAAATTAGGAATGCAATACTCTTTTAAATTCCCTGTTAACACAAAATAAGGAAGCCTAAAGGGCAAAGCAAAGGAGCATTAAAAATAATAATAATGGGAGCTTCTGATATCTTCATGATTATATTTGTGATTGTTAATCTTTCTCTTTCTTTTATACGATGTGAAACTGCAAGTTAGAGCTGTCGAGTAGCTCTACCCTGCAGCCTTATTATTCACTTTAGACAGGGATGCTGCATTGCTACTTGTGTTTGACTGCATTAGTTTGCAAATATGAATTGATGTGATTAGTGTCTTTTTGTGTACGTACATTACAGTGTGCGCATGTGTTTGTGAAAAAAAAAGAAAGACAGAGAGATGAACAGCTCCAACACCCAGCAGTTGCCATGATGTTCCTGCTGAAGCGCAATAATAGATACAGCAGAAAGTGATAATGAACCATCGAGTAACTCCCTCTCTCCCAATAAACTCTCCCCACCCCCCTCCTGCTAGGAACACAGAGTGCACTGTAAGAAGCCAAAAAAAACACAGAATGCCAGACAAGAGGGGAGGGAGAGTGTAAGCAGGCAAGGAGCCAGCAAACTATTATAACAGAGCACCAACAGCAAGACAAAGACCTATGAAGATAAAAAATATACATCTTGACGAACATAATGCAGTGGGTGCAAAGGCTCTGGAGCAGGAGAAGAACACGTAAACCGTGCGCAAACTTACTGTGAGAGAGGTGAAGGTCATGCACATGCCCCCAAAGCCATTGAAAGTCAGGGCAATGAAGATAAGGACGGAGAGTTCTGCAAATGACACAGATGTTAGCTTGTGACCAAACTAGTGTACATTATTTCAAATACAGTAAAAAAAAAAAAGGTAGACATGAGAACCCTTCAGGCCAACTCACCATTTGGGTTGTAGGATCCATAAGCAATGAGTAGACAGGAAAATCCAAAACACGTGCTGGAAATAAATGATGATGACAATTTAAGTTGCAGCCCAGCTCTGACAATTTTATTTTGCTTCTTAAGGAGTTTACATATTCCCAAAACAACAGAAGTGTTCACAGAATTAAAAAGAAATAACGTCACAGCTGGAGTCTTCTCTCTCTTGCTTACCTGCCCAGCAGTCGCAGTTTGCGAGGTCCATATTTATCCATGACGATCCCCAATGGCAGCGTGATGGCCGAGAGCAGGAAGGAGCCCACTGTAAATGCCAGGTTCAGCATCTCATCCTGTTCTTTACAAATCAGCCAGCCGTTCATCCTCAGGGGCCCATCCATAGGGACCAGGGGCCTCATCTCCACTCCGTCTCCCAGACCAACCACGCCTCCCTCACTTTCATAGTCAGCATAGTCATCGGGTGTCGCCGTTGCCAGGAGTTGGGTGAGATTGTAGCTGGAACTGTTGAAGCCTGAAGAAGAAAGTAAACGATGAGTCGTCTAAGTGGAAAACTGAAAGTCTAATTTAGTCTTTCTGGTACACAAAAACACTATCCATAAAGGTTGAGTGGCGTGAATAATGACTGTGTTAAGTTGAGTTCAGCCGTGTGCTCCTGTAGATGATTTAATGTATGGAGACTGTCTCTTCTTGGCACATGGATGAAATTTGGAGGTGGTAGTTCTGCTTATTCACGGGGTCCTGATATGTTAACACATCGTGGCTACATGTGCACTGAACATGTGCTTGTTATAACTACAAACTTGTGGGTAACATCATATCAGGGGCAGAAGCATAAAATTATAGGAGACAAACCTGTACCGTTCAGACCGACAGAAAGCCAACTGTCCTTGACTGAGATGGTATTTAGATTTTATTAGTCAGTTAGAAAGCCAGGGACAAAATGTGATAAGCTGGCACTGGCAATAAACTACACACTATCATCAGAACCTGCATGGAGATCAAAGTACAACAGTTCATGTGAGGGAGAAACGATAGCAGCAGTTTGGGAAGTTATTGGGCTGATCATTTCTGTTTTTGGTTAAATATGATTTCTGTCACCCGACATCTTTGTAGTCACGTGAGGCAAGTACGTGCGTGGCAACCTTGTGTGAAACACTGTGACACGCTTCATGTTCAAGTGTCAAAGTCGACTTCTGGAAAGCAGAACAGAAAGCGTACAAGTATTTGTCTGTACGTGCACGTAATACTCAGTGGTATTTCAGCTTGAGTTGAAAGAAGACCTGATACGACAGGATGCTGCAAAATGAACAGATTTTGACAACCTTTGTTCCTCTTCCATGGTGACTCATAGCCACTGACATACCCACATGACACAAAGCTTTCACCATTCCTCAAATATGTCTGCTGCATGTGCACAAAAGCCTAATCTACTCTGCATCATCATCACCTTTTTCTGTCCATCATCTTGTTTTTACTGTCAACTCCACCAATACTATTCATCACTTTTCTATCAGTTTTCTCCTGCCTTCCTGTCCTTTATCAGTGGACTTTCAACTTCCATATAACCAGTCATAAAATCTATCCTTCTATCACATGTCACATGTCTGAAAAGAGCTGAGCTGGTGCTGCGGTTCTCTCCCTCTTACGTCATCAGAGCGAGATAAGACAGCTACGGAAGCTCTCCAGGAAGTCACCTACAGTCGTGGGTGCTCATTTGCTACATCAGCGGTGAGTCTGCTTCTGTGCCGACACTCAGCATCACAGCTGACACGACTGGAATTATCCTTGAGTAATTGAAGGTTCATGGTCAAATGTTAAGCTGCTACTTTGATGCTGAATAAGCTTAAAGATCAAACAAGACAAAGTCAAATCACTTACAAATGAAGATTAATAGGAAGGCTGTAGGAGTTGGAAATATATCCTCCTACAAATGTCCAGTCAGAAAATTCAAGTCCCTTGGAGATAGGGTGGCCAATAGTGAGAGGGGGAAACTGAATCCAACCAATAGTTTAGTGTCTGTACATTGGGCACGACACAGTGTCAACACAGGTCCAAAGGATAAGTGTGGCCTAATTCCTCTCTCACATTCCCTTTTGCTTACTCTCGTCTATACGACCTGACTGGGGCCATTGTGTGTATCAATTCCACCTTTGTACTTAAAAACACAAAGCACCGGCCTGACTTTGCTCAAAGTGAGGGATGAGGAGAAAAAGAGTAGACTGAGGGGCGAGGGCAAAAGGACAGCTGATCCAGTGCGTCATTGGTTTATCAGATCCCTCTCAATCAGTCTGCTGCCGAGTCTTCAATTTAGTTGGAGCTGTTGAAAGTTAAAGCTCTCAAAGGGGCAAGTAGAGAGCTTCGGAGACACTGGAGCCGTAAACTCTTTAACTTTGGACCACTTTGTCAACTTTGCAACCCTGCTCTCTCTTTCATTTATCTGATTTAGGTTTTAAACAGCCCATGTTCCCTTCGGAGAAAACACCTATTCTTCCCAAAGAATGGTAGCAGTGTTAAGTTACATCTATTGAATAAAAACGTGCTCCCTTTGCCAGAATTCACAATGCCACTGACACCCCTCCTCACCAATCCTCATTTTAACAGCTCATTGTAAAGTGCTATACAGGAAGAAAGAGTTCAGCACTGTAACCTCATGAAGACACATGCTCAAGACTATTTGCTTTTCCTAATTCCAATTAGGAATTATTATTTGCTTTTCCAATTACTACACCATCAAGGCAAACTAAGGCAAAGTTGTGGGAAGTATAATGGAACGAATGACAGACCCGTATTGTGACAGAAATTCAACAGTTGTGACTCACCCTCTTCGTAGCAAAGGTAAGAGTAGAAGCCTTCTGACTTGAGCATGATGAGGAGCGACCCCCATCCAAGCAGCACGGCGGAGAAGAGCAGATTCTCAATGATAGAAGTCACTGCCATCCACCAGCGTCTGGCGAACGCCGTGACCAGGGTCGGAGCCATGGTCGAGGGTTATAAATTAGGGAGAGAGGGGCAAAGAAGCAGAGGAGGGAAATGTAGAGAGTAGGTCGAGAGAGACCGCAAGAGAGGAGAGAAAAACGCAGAGAAAGCCTCCCTGACTGACGCTCAGGATGAAGGATCGCTGATCACTTATCTGTGAAGAGAAAGGCACAAAAGGAGGGGGGGGGGAAGGTTTTGTAGTTAGCCTATCACTGTAGTTACTGAAGGATCACAAGATAAAAGCACTCAACTTTGAGCCTGACTGGAGATAACTGAGGAAATGAACCTGCGATATCTGAACATTATGCTCTGTTTGGTTCATAACTTTTTTTTGATTAATTCAAAGTCTCCCTTCTCATTAAACACAGAGAAGAAGTATTACCAGTTGCTAACAACGAATGGCAAATTATTATCTCTCCTGCTAGTAGATCATAACATCACTCTGCTGCAGGCAGGGACAAAGATCTTACATCACATCATTAAGAAGCATCCGTGGTGGCATCACAGAGATTCTGCTGTTCGTCCAAAAAGGTAAACTGGTCTAAACTGGACTCTGAGAGAAAAATGGGTCTTTCTCCCTGCTCCCTCACCCCATGGCCCCTCTCTCTCACTGCACAACAACTAAAATGTCTCAGGCCCATCCAACCGCAACTTTGCTCTGCAATTACTGTGGTGCATCCAAAACATAAAGGAGCTGCCAGACAAACCAGAAAGAAATCAGCTCACACAGCCATCCTCTCTCTCTCTCTCTCTCTCTCTCTCTCTCTCTCTCTCTCACACACACACACACACACACACACACACACACACACACACACACAC